CACAGAAGTTGGGCCCACTCAATCCTCAATTTTCTATACTTGTATGTCTTCATGTGTTTATTTTTATGTTTACTACTACTACTACTACTACTACTACTACTACTACTTCTTTTTCCTCTCCTCCTCCTCCTCCTCCTCCTCCTTCTTCTTCTTCTTCCTCTTCTTCTTCTTTTGGAGAGGTTTTTGATATAGGGTGTGTGTGCTTGCCAGAAAGACCAAGAGAGAAAGCAAGAAATCATTCCTGGGGGTATGACCACGCCACAATCCCTTCTCCTCCATTCTCCTCTCAGAATCTTGGACTCACATGCACACACACCCGACGTGAGTTTAAGCCACTGGGTCTGAAACTCGAACCACAGTTGACTACATGGTAGCCCAGCGACATGGCCTTTATGCCATCTGGGTGGTCCCTATGTTTATTTCTAATCCGCAGCACCCCCTCTCAGAAAAACGCATTTTGCTAAGTGGGTCCCAGTAGCCCGCAAGAAGAGTATGGGGAAGAACTTGTAGTGTGGCTGGCTATCCTGCTGGGGGATTTCTCACATTCCTTCTGTCTCTCTCTCTGGCAAGCACGTATAATCTGGCAAATACTGAAAGCAACAAATAAATGGGAACCTAAAGTGGTGGCACAGCAGTGACACAATGCTCAGCCACAGGGATGGTCCTGGGACCATGTTCTGAGGTCTCCTTGTACATGCCAGGCATGTGCACATGGTGGGGGTAAATCACAGCATGACAGGACTCCTTCAAGGGTGCCTGCCACCTCTCTCAAGAAATAAGCTTAACTTTTCAAAATTGATGTTTTGGGGGCTGGCAGGAGGTGTGGTGGTTAAGAACAATGAATTCCCACATGGTTAACTGTAGTTTGAGTTCCAGACCTAATGGCTTGTTTTCTCACTTTCCTTCTCTCTCTCCCCCTCTGGTCAAATTAAAAATAAATAAAGTTAAACAAAATATATATTTTTTCTTTTGGAGAGGTTTTTTTGCTATAGGGTTCATGTGCTCACCAGAAAGACAGAGAGAGACAGAAAGTGAGAAATCATCCACCAAGGGGATTGCCACACCACAATCCCTTTTTCTCCATTCTCCTCTCGGGATTTTGGACACACACGCACACGCTCCCAGTATGAGTTTAAGCCACCAGGTCCAGGACTTGAACCACTGTGGACCTTATGGGAGTCCAGTGACATAGCCATTATGCCAACTGCTGGTTCCAATAATTCTTTAAATAAACAAAAAAAAATTGGTGTTTGCTTTTTTTTCACCCCCTACATTCAATTTCTAGCCTATCGTCAGTTTTCATGTTTTGTTTTGAATGTTTGTTACACAGGACGCCCGTGCTTGCCAGAGGAATTAAGAAACCACCCCCATCCTGGGGTGGGAGGGATGGCCCCACCACAGTCTCTTCTCCACTCTCCTCTTTGGATTTGAGGCACACAAAAACATGCACCTCGCATGTTTCTCAAGCCACCAGGTCTAGAGGTTGAAACATGAGCCTTAACCACCATACCACCTGCTGGTCTACCCTATCATCAGTTTTTGTATAGCAAAGGATCTAAGTGCTTTGGTTGTTGTTGCTGCTGTGTTTTTGTTTTTGTTTTTTTCCTTTTGAGAGGTTTTTGCTATAGGGCATGTACGCTAGCCAGAAAGACAGAGACAGAAAGCAAGAAATCACAATCCCCTCCCCCCAGGGGATGGCCATGCCGCAGTCCCTTCTCCTCCATTCTCCTCTCAGGATCTTGGGCACGCATGCAATGCACACACCTGGCGTTAGTTTAAGCCATCAGGTCCAGGACTTGAACTGCGGTCAACTACATGGGAGTCCAGCGACGTAGCCATACACCATCTGCTGCTCCCACTGTTGTTTTAATAATATTGTTTATTTGCCTTTAATTCCATGATAGAGAAAAAGAGACAAGTACCCCCAAAAGAACTTCGCACCTTGATCCACCCCAAGCCTCAGCTGGTCTGGATCACCAGCACACATGAATGCACCTAGTGTGCTTAAGGAGGTCCTGGGATATGAACTCAGGACCTTGCTCTGGTGGCTGTAGGTGTTACCACTGTGCCACCACTTGAACCACAAAAACGATTTTTATATTTTTCAATGATAGAAAAAAATCAAATATTTCATGACATGGGTAAATTGCCTGAGTGATGACTTAGTTGTTCCTTTATTCATGACAGAGTGCATCCATGTACATATGAGAGTGATAGATGAGCACCCTCCACAGGGTCTGGTCATCATGCAATCCCCTTCCTCCAGCCCATCACACCTTAGGCACACACACACATATGTGGCATGGTGGTTGCCACCTGCTGGCTCCCAAGATTTTTTTCTTATTTTATTTTTCAAAAAATTGTCAGAGGAGGGGGACCAGCAATTGGTGTAATGGCTATGTTGCTGGACTCGCATTTCTGCACTTTTCTCATCTGTGCAGAGATAGTCATCATACCTAGTAAATATACTGATAATAGCAATAAGAAAAATGGTTTCACTTCTATATTTCCACAGATTAGTACCAGAGGAATAATAAAGTGGATGAGCTAGAAAAAGAAATGTTTTTCTAATGTAAATTATACTTTTCTTCAAATGTCCACTTTAAAATTTATAAGAGGGCATGTGCACATGACAGAAATAAGTACTCTCAACTGGGTCTTGTCATACTTCATCCTCTTGCCCCAGTCCTCCAGCTCACAAGGACCTTGGGCACACCCAGTATGTTCCAGGTTTAAAGGTCAGAGATCTGAACCCATGGTTGTCTACAAGGTTTCCAGCACTCCAGTTCAGTGGTTCAATACTCTTTAATAGCCATGATAGTGGGTTAACAGGCTGGGTGCATTTGTCTTTTTTTTTTTTTTAAAGAGAGATTTTTGCTATAGGTCACATGCATTCACTGGACACAAGAGACAGAGACAGAAAGTGAAAAATCACCTCCCCTGGAGGGACAGCCACACCTCAATCCCTTCTCCTTTCTCTTGGGATTTTACTCAATCCCTCCTCCTTTCTCTTGGGATTTTAGGCACACACACACACACACACACACACACACACACACACACACAAACACACGGCATTAGTTTTAAGCTGCCGGATCTGGTATTCAAACCATGATCAACTACATGGGAGTTTAATACAATTATTATGCCATCTGCTGGTCCCATGTCTACTTTATTTAAGTTTACAATTTGCTATAGAGCATGTGCATGCACCTGAGACAGAGATAGGAATCATCCCCTGGGGGAGGGGAGATGGTCATGCCACAATTCCTTTTCCTCCATTCACCTCAAGATTTTGAGAACAAGTGCACATATGCTCAGTGGGTTTTGCTTTCTATTTTCATACCATTGGTTCTAGGACTCAAACTGCACAATTGGCCATGTCGGATCCAGTTGCCTTAACCATCACACCACCAACTGCTCCCCATTTGTCTACTTTATTAAACTACATTCATGTCCCATGGAACACACTAATTCAGAAATATTGAGTCACCAGGAAAGTCATGATGCATTTTACATAGAAAAACATGTCATAACTCCCCAAAAACCTAAGAGGGTAACCTGATTTTCCTCCACCCCTCCATCCTTGGCCTTGATCTATATGTCCTGTTAAGACAACTTGTTGGTGAAAGGGTATATACTTCCAGTTAGTTACAAGATGAATAAGTTCTGGTACCTACAGTATAGCATGGATGGTGACAGACTTGTTAATGAGCTTGACTGTGGTAACCATTAGACAATGCATGTGTGTATCAAATCATTATGTGTACACTTCAAAGAAAGAAAGAAAAAAAAAAAAGACAGGAACACAGACATCCTTACCATTCAATCATTTTATCCGATTGTACTGGGTTCCCATCTCATGAGAAACACAAATACCCATGGAATTGCCCCTATTCTCCATTATCCCAAATCTCCAATGAAAAAGGCTACAGTAAAATATAATCACCAGGCTCATGCAAGGATACTCCTTTTTAAAGCATTATTATTATTTTAGTTTTTGCTCTAGGGTATATGCACTCACCCACATAGAGAGAGGGAAAGTGGAAAATCACTCCCCAGGGAGGATGGCCACATCACAATCCCTTCTTCTCCATTCTCCTCTCGGTATTTTAGGCACGTACACACATGTACCTGATGTGATTTAAGTCACTGGGTCCAGGATTCAAACCACAGAGTCAGCCATGTGGGATCTAACTGCCTTAACCTTTCTACCACCAGCTGGTCCTAAAGCATTATTTTCTGAAGCACTAACTTAAAAATATATACTTATTTAATTTTAATTACCATCATTATTATTTTTAAATATGACTAGAGGCAAGAAGAGAGAGACAGAAAATGAGAAAGAAAGTCGCCAGGTCTAGGACTCAAACTATGGTTGACTATGTGGGAGTCCAGCATCTTAATCACCATGCCAAACTTTTTTTTTTTTTTTGAGAGGTTTTTGCTATAGGGCGCATGTGCTCACTAGAGAGACAGAAAGTGAAAATCGCCCCCCTGGGGGGATAGCCATGCCGCAATCTCTTCCCATCCATTCTCCTCTTGGGATCTTAGGCACACACGCACAGGCACCCAGTGTGAGTTAAAGCCACTGGGTCCAGGACTTGAACCGTGGTAGACAACATGGGAGTCTAGCAACGTAGTCATTACACCAACTGCTGATCCCCCAAACATTATTTTTTAAATATTCATTTCTTTCATGAGTGAGAGTAAGCACCCCCAATAGGGTCTTGTTGCCATGGTGACCTACCTCCAGCCTTTCAGCCTTAGACCACGGTTCATATGTGCCTGCCATACTAAGGGAGATCTCTGGATGCAAACACAGAAATCTCCCATGTGGAACTGCCTCACAGCAATACAAAGGGTCTCACTTTATCACTGGGCCACCATCAAGCCCACCTCATCTCCTAATTAACAAGACCATCAGAAAGATTTTGAATATCTAAGTCACTCTGGGAATCCCAATTTTCTTAATATAGAACCTCAGGATTTAAATGAACTCAATGTGAAAAATAGACATTTATTACAAAAAATTAGTTTTGACACTCTAAAATGAAAGCAGACAAGGTGTTTTCCAACTTGAAAGGGCTGTTGTGAGCTGAAGAAGTACATTCCAAGGCTGGTAATAACTTGAGTCACACTCATTACACTGCCCTAGTGGGTGAGGACCTTACCCTCCACAAGTGACCTATGCCTCCCCAGGGCTTTTCCGTCATACCCTTCCACCCTTTCACCCAGCCATGATACAGAACTGAAACATACTTTCAAAATCTCATCCCTCCTGAACCGTTTCATAACCTCTCCTTTATTATCTACTGAAATTTTATTTCCTCTGGAATTTTTTTTTTTTTTTTTTTTTAATCAGTGCATGACCCCTTAACTGATTGCTTAGGGGTTTTTTTTGGTTTTTTTTTTTTTTTTTTCTTTTTTTGGATCCTTGGTAGAAAACTCAGTTCTGCAGTTCCAGGTAAGGGGCCAGACTATGACAAGTGGCACTAATATCCCCTCCAGAAAGAAATAGGCAAAATCAAACCAAGAGGGTCCTTCATGCACCCTCTCGCCCTCTTGCAGGTTAATAAATAGACTGAGGGATTGTGGTAGACAGAGATAGAGAAGTGTAAGAGCAGAGACAGGCCCAGATAGGAAGAAGGAAGCAACTGGCCCACCCCATGCTCACCCAACACACCACTGCAGGGTCTGGGTTACAATACCGTCTCCTGAACCCAATCTACTAAATAAAGCAGCAGTCAGCTCCCCCAAGTGAGCTGAGAAAGCCCCCTGCTTCAGCTCTGAAGCCTTTTTCTTGCAGCCTACATAGGGAAGCCCAGGACCACACCTGAGTGGGCACTTCCTAGTCTCACTTAGTGGAACTGGCAAGTGAGACCCAGAGAACAGCATGGGCTTCACCTCAGTAACCTTCCCCAGCAGAAGGCCTAGCCACAAGAGGGCTCTCAAGAGGATCCCAACACCAGAAGCTATTTTGAAGGAGGACCAAGTACGGGACAAAATAGTCTGGGAGGCCACCCGGTTGCTGGGAATTCCTGTTTGTACAAAGGAGCAGCCCAGGGACCCTCTAAGATCTCATTTCCCCCACTGACACACTGAGTTTCCATTTCCAGCAACATCCAGTTAATACACATAAACCCACAGTCTCACCAAAGAGCCAAGGAACCCTCCAATGGGCACTTGATTTCACCATACATTTATACTCACACACACGTGCACACTCACACACACAAGCTCAGTGAAGAGCTAACATGACTACACACACCCACACGAGACACATCTTGAAAGGAGTCTGTCCTGTTCCAGTCCAGGGAAAAGTGATGGCTCAAGCCACCTGCTCCAGCTTGCTCTTCTTGACATCAGTGGTTTTCAATCATCTCCGCTCCACATCCCCTGAAAGTTCATTCTGCTCTCCACAGCAAAGGCACCCTTTCTCCTGCAGTCATAGCAGTGTCAGCTTGCTTGTGTTCCAGAGAAGGCCAGGCAGGAAGACCCCAGGGTCACTTCCAGGGGTGAGGAAGACAGAAGAGTTGACCTCGTCACCAACGGCGCCGTCAGCCATCTGCTCTCCACTCTCCACTCCCTGCTCTGGCACAGCTGGTGTCCATGAAATCAGGCTCAGAAGCTCACAGGCCAGGAGGGTCCTGACTACAGATTCCCGGGGGCCCTCCTCTTGCCGTCTCCTTGGAAGGGATGTCAACAAGCATACCTGGGATTCCTGCCTGATCCCTCCTGAGATTGGGAATGAAAACAAGTCCGAGGGACACAGTGATGGCAGGAATGGGAGGGAGGGTGTGAGGAGGAAGGGGCACAGAGTTATCAAAAACACATCCTAGCTAAGATAAAGTGGGGGCCCTAGGGGTGTCTAGAGACAAATAAGGCATTCTGTGAGACCACAGACATCAGGGCCAGAGTCCAGTAGCACCTGAGTAAGGCAAGCACAGAGGACTAACCAGCTGGACCAGGGTCACACCAGGAAGGACGAGGTCTGCTTGAACTCCCCCTGGGGAAAGAAAACATTCAGTCCACCCTCAATGGTCTACAGTTGCGAGTCCCCAAAACACACAAACACAGGCCGGAAACCCCGCCCTCCGGTAGGAGGCCCTCCCTCCTAGGCAAGCCTTCTCACCTCACTCCGACCACTGGGCTGGCTGTAAATCACCTTCTTATTCGAAGTCCTGTAGATGAACCAGAGATGGAGATGCTTAGCCCCCTGCTGCTCACCAACCACTCCTGGCCCACTTAGGGACCAGAATGACAACTCCACAGCAGCACAGGGGGCTCGGAGGGAGGTGTAGGCGGAGGGGCCAGGACAAACCCAGGACCACAGTGACAGGACAGAATCCAGTATCTTTCCTCAGAGTTGGCTGCTCCCACCTCCAACCCAGCCCTCAGGCCCACTTCAGCTTCAAACCACATGCATCCACAGTTTCAACTTCGTAGAGCCCAGGACAGCACCTCACTCACCCTTTCTTTGCTCCTGAAAGAGAAGAAATGGAGGTTGTGAGTGTCAAAGGACAGAAGACAGTGTGGCCCACGGAGGTGGGGAACTGGCACAGTCCTCATCAGCACTCTCTGGGGAAATGTCTGCACGGGTGGGCCCAGTGTCAAGGTCAGTACTCAGCCCCTGACCCACACCCTGGAGGGGACAACACAAAGGACAGCCACGGAGGCCGATACTTACTGTCCAAGTAGCCTCGGCTGTAGGCAAACCAGATGCCGAAAATCAGGACTCCCAGGAGAATCAGAGTCACGAGAACGGCTGCCACGATGCCCCCCACGTTCAGCTCCGCTGTGGGACAATGACAGGTCAGGCCCCATGACAAAAGCACCGCCCCCACCCAGGTCCAGGCTCGAGCCTGGCCACTCTCTCACCAGCCGTCATGCGCACAGCTTCTGACTTCACGGGTGCCCCGTAGCCATTCTGTGCCTCACAGACGTATTCTCCAGAGTCAGAGGCCGACACAGGGTCGAAGACCTAGAGGGAAGGAAACACTGGTGTCCCACTGGAGGGGTCCAGCAGTTCTCTCTGACGTCTCCTGACTCTAACACAAGCTCACCTGGTGGCAGGCTCTTCTTTCCCACCTCCAGCGGCTCCACAGCTCACACCCCCCACATCTTCTACCCTACCCCAAACATACCAGTTCCCCCGACTTCTGATTCAGGACGTAGGAAGAGTTGATGAAAGCACGGCTGCTCTTAGGGTCTGTGGGCATCAGCACCCCATCCTTGAACCAGGAGTACTCAGAAGCAGGGGAGCCATTCGATTCGGAGCAGGTCAGCACCGCCCGGTTCCCAATGGTGGGAGAGGAGGGGATGCTGACTGTGGGCTTGGATGGGGGCACTGTGAACGGGAAGAGAAGGTGCTGACCACGAGGGCAGGGGGGCTGCCCGAGTCCAAATTCCCGGCTAGGATGCCACCCCTTCCAAACAGCTCTAGCCTCCCAGCACTGGCACCCCAACCAGGGGCACACCCCCTCTGGCAGCACCGGACCGCACAGCCACACCTGTGGCTATGTTCACAATCAATGAGCCCCACAGCTCAGCAGGGCCTGCTCTGGGTTTAGGGAGGCAACTGATTCTAGGCCCGTGCAGAAGACAGGGTGGCACGTGGGACCAGCAGTTAGCGTAATGGCTATGTCGCTGGACTCCCTCGTAGTCGACTGGGGGTCGCGTCCCGGACCCGGTGGCTTAAAGCTCATGCCGGGCGCGTGTGCGTGCGTGCCCAAGATCCCGAGAGGAGAATTGAGGGGAAGGGATTACGGCGTGGCCATCCCCCTTGGGGGGTGATTTCTCACTTTCTGTCTCTATGTCTCTCTCTGTCTGTCTGTCTGGTGAGCGCACGCGCCCTACAGTGAAAATCTCTCAAAAAATAAAAAGAAGAAGAAGAAGACAGGGCGGCACGTACCGAGCACAACGAGTTGGATGTTGACCTCCCCGTAGTTGTTGCCGCCGTCCTCGGACACCATACACGTATACATCCCCGTGTCTTTCTTCTCCACGGAGTGGAAGGTGATGCCATTCAGTGAGAAGGCAACTCGGCTCGCGTAAGAAGCTACCAGGAGAAGCAGAGCAAGGACAGAGGAACGGGGAAGTGAGAGACACTGGTGAAGTGGCACCCGGGCTCCACAGATGCCCACTCCTTCCACAGAACAGGTGATGGGAAGACCATACCGACCTGAGCCCCGACCTGTGCCCTCCCCCAATCCAGGCTCGGATCAATCACAGCCTAGGCAGTCAGACAAGGGAGGGGGAGCGACTCACCTGTGATCTTGTTGTTAAAGCACACCAGTTGGGAGTCACCACCATGAGCAAACTTCCACTCCACCCGAGGAGAGGAGAAACCCGAATAGGAGCAGGACAGTGTGGCCGCTGCAGACAGGATGAGAGCGAGGACCAGGGTAAACAGACAAGGTGGGTAACAGTCCCAACCACCAGCCAGCTGGAGGGTCTCCAAGCCCCCAGAGGCCAGAACCTGCCCACCCTCCACGGCCATGTCCAACTCACTTTTATTCTCAGGTACTTTGACTACAGGTGTCGAAGTGTACACTGTACCCTTGCCCAATGCCTGCGAACCTGAGAAGAAAAAATAAAGAGCGTCCTATCAGGAGTGTTCAGAGCAAGGCCACAGAGAGGGAGCCACTGACAGAGCCTCTCCAAGGTGAAGGGGTAAGGGAGTCAGTCCAGAGAGGGCAGCTTCCCCTGGTTCTCACGGCCTCTCACCATTATCCCAAATAACCTCTTCAGATGCGTTTGCACTGCAACTGCAGGCCAATACATTTTTTACCAATGGAAATACACAGGATCTTCAAAAAGCTTACAGAAAAATGTGTACTATGAAAAAAACTTACGGGGTCAGCCAGTGCTGTAGTGGTTAAGACAGCTGGATCCCACATGGCTGAGTGCATGGTTTGAGTCCCGGACTGACAACTTGAAGAACACACTGGGCATGTGTGTGAGCATGCCCAAACTCCCCAAAGGAGGAAGAGATGGAGGAGAAGGGACTGTGGAGTCATTATCCTCCACGAGGGAGTCATTTCTCACTTTCCCACTCTCTGTCTCTAGTGAGTGCATATGCCCTGTGGCAATTAAAAAAAAAAAAATGCTTGGATTTTAACTTTTTGTTTGCACCAAAATAAACTGGTACATGAATTCCATCTTCCTCCCAAATTTTTTGAAGCCCCTTCACAAGACATCTCTTTCAAATGTAAGTTCTTCCATTTCTAATTTTTCCCTCTGTTACTCCCAATAGTCTAGTTTGACTCCTACTACTTCAAGAGCAGCTTCCTGGGATGACATTTCACAGCTCAGAGAAAGCTTCTCAACAATGACTGCAGTCGCTTGTCAAGAAATCCTGGAAGGCAGGCCAGCAAGTGACACGATGGTTAAGGTGACTGGACCCCACATGGCCGACTGTGCAATTCTATTCCCAAACCTGGCAGCATGAAGCCAGTTGTATGTGTGTGCGCCTGCCCGGAATGCCAAAAGGAGAAATGGAGGAGGGGGGATTATGGCATTACCATCCCCTACATGGGTTGCTCTCTCACCCCCCGCCATGCCCACTCTCCCACAAGCACACTCTAGAAAATAAAGAAGAGACCAGCAGGTGACATGGAGACTTAGGCACTGCACCCCACATGGCTGACTGTGCACTTCGAGCCCTGGATCTGGCACCATGTGTGTGCGTTCCCAAAATCCCAAGGGGAGACTGGAGGAGGCGGCTATTCGGTGTAGCCATTCCCCTCTAGGGGGTGTTTTCTCTCCCTCCCTCCCATGGCAAGCATTCTTTAGCAAACACAACAAAAAAAAAGAAAGAAAGAAAGAAAGGAAAAAAAAAAAAGGGAAACCCTGGAAGGAAGCCAGCAGACCTGGAGGCAAGGGAGAGCGGTCAAGAGGAGCAGCCATGATAATAACAATACTCGACATTTGTAGAGCATTCGGTGCTTTTTAAAGTGTTTTCCCATACATTATATGGTATGTTCTGCCCTTTGATCCTTGAAACAAGCATGACAGAGTAGCAGGATGGTATTATTATCCCAGGTTTACTCGAAGTACAGAAACGTGCCTGAGCTCACACAGCTGGTTCTGAGACCTGGGCTCAGCCCTCCATCAGCATCTCCTACTCACCAAAGGCAGAAAGAAAAGGAAAGGGACGTGATGGGGACAGAGGGAGCAGTGAGGGGCCAGGGGGCGAATTAAAGAGCGTGGTGGAGGGGCCCAAACACGCCAGATTAAGCTGGCGGGGCCTGATGGTGGTTCAGTGGTACCATAACACTCTGCAAGGCTGACCCACAGGGAAGGTCCCAGGTTCACACTGAGACACCCCTGAGCATGCTGGCATGTGTAGGTCACATGGCTGGCTGAGGGCGAGGGTGGACAGAGGCATCAAGACCCTGTTGGGGAGGGGCAGTAGGTGGCACAGAGGTTAAGGCAGTGGATCCCACATGAACAACAGCATAGTTCTAGTCCCCAACCCGGAAACTTGAAACTCATGTTGGGTACATTGTGGCCTGGCCACCCCTTTGAGAAGTGATTGCTCATTTTCCTCCCCTCTATCTGTCTCTCGCTAGCACACGTGCCCTATCACTATAAGCTAAAAAGAGAGAGAGAGAGAGACCTGTTGGAGGGTGTTGTCCTCTCTCATGGAACAAAGAAATTTTCAAAACTAAAAACAAAGACCCAGGATTGCATAATATATCTACAAACCTGCACTTACACAGTGTTTCTCATTTATGTTTTTAAAGCTCCAATTCATGAAGTAGGTTTTTATTTAGGGCTTTGAGTCAGAGTTCTTATCTTCTCTGACAAATGCATGAATCTTGTGCAATGCAAGCATGTGTTAAATTCAAGTACATTGTTTAAATTTAATTACTTGCATAATTGAATACATCTCTTGACCTCTGCTATAGTTTGAATGTCCCCTCTCAAAAAAATTCATGTGTTAAAATTTGATGTCACTGTTATGGGATTAAGAAAGTAAAAATCTTGGGAACTGGCAGGTGGCGTGGTGGTTAAGGTGCTAGACACTCCCACATGGCGGACCATGGTTCAAGTCCTGGACCTGGTGGCTTGCTTTCTCACTTTCCTCTCTCTCTCTCTCTCTGGTCAAATTAAAATAAATGAATGAATGAATAAAATTGAATAAAATAATTATTTTTTTAAAAAGTAAAAATCTTATCTGATTATAGCGTGAAGAGGGGCCTTTGGGAAGTGATCAGGCATCAGGGCGGGGCCCCATGGTGGAATCCAGGTGGGTCTCTAAGGAGAGGGCGTGAGACAGAGATTCACAGACACAGTTGCCTTCTCTGCCCTTGTCCTTGTGATATGACTAGGACTCTGCTAGCTGCCCCCCCAGATAAACTTCTATTGTGTGGTTTTTTGTTTGTTTTTGCTATAAGAGCCCGAGAGCCTGACAGAAAAAGAGTTGGAAAGTGAGAAATCTACCCCTGTGGGGATGGCCACACTGAAATTCCTTCTCCATTTTCCTCTTGGGATTTTGGGCACACATGCACCCGCCACATTTTTCAAGGCACCAGGCCCAACTTTTGAACCACTGACTGGCCCATGTGGGATTCAACTCTCTTAACCACCAGGCCACAGGGCTGGTCCTGGCATTGATGTCTATATACATTTATTTTAATTTAACATAAGGACACTGTGAATTGGTCCAAATAAATATTTCCTCTATTTTATAGATGAGCAAATTAAGTAACCAAAAAAAAAAAGAGAGAGCAGAACCTGTGGGGGGGGTGTTGTCTTTCTCACTCATGGAAGAAAGAAATTTTAAAAACTATTGGGACCAGCAGTTAGCGTAATGGCTATGTCGCTGAACTCCCATGTAGTCAACCACGATTTGAGTCCCAGACCCGGTGGCTTAACTCAGGCCGGGCGTGTATGCGTGCGTGCCCAAGATCCCAAGAGGAGAATGGAAGAGAATGGAGGAGAAGGGACTGTGGCATGGCCATCCCCCCGGGGGCGATTTCTCGCTTTCTGTCTCCCTGTCTGTCTCTGTCTTTCTGGCGAGCGCATGCGCCCTATAGCAAAAAACTCCAAAAAACCAACAACAAAAGAAGATCCTATTGGGGGTGCTGTCTCTCTCTCTCTGAATAAACGAATAAACTTTTTTCCATGTTCATGAAAAAATGGAATTAAAGCATGAGTTTAGTTTAGTAAAAACTAAATTGAAATTCATGCATCGTTTTTTCACAATACGCATTTTCAATGAACTTTTTGGAAGAATCCCCCATAAAGGCCTAGCTAACTCCATCACCTAATCCCCCAAACTGGGACAGCGCTGAGGGCCATTCCTGTTTCACAGTCCCTTGTGGGTTAGGCTGAGGCCTTGTAGGGTCTACGAAGCACCCCAGCTTCTCCCTCCACCCATTCTTGCTTCCAACACATCCTTCCCACTGGTGTGGATCCTCAGAGCACTCCCTAATAAATGTCTGAGATGATAATTGACTTCTCAGAGTCAGCTTCCCAAGAACCCGCCTGTGACACCACCCAAATAAAGAGCAGGAGCTCATTAAACTAAAAGCCAGCAAGCACACAAATCCGTCATGGATGTCATGGTCATTCTTCCATCATGTCAACAACCAAAAGCTAAGGTTCCTTTTGTTGTTAAAGAAAATTCCTTTTTTTTCAAGTTCACTTAAATGTACTTCTTCCATAAATGAGAAGGACAGAGAAACTGAAGCTGCCCAGTGTATCATATTTAACCCTGTACCACCATCCAGCCCCCTAAAGTTCTTCTTTAAAATAATTGACTGACTTCTTCCATGAGTAAGAGAGACTGAGACCCAACATGGTCTTGATGCCATGACCCACCTCTAGCTTCAGTTAGCAGGTTGACAAACACAGAGGGGTCTCTGGTCACGAACTCAGAACCTTCCTATGTAGGGTCAGTCTCAGAGAGCATCATGTTTTACCACTGCACCAGTCAGCCCCCTACAGTTCGTTCTCTTTGTTTCGTTTTTGCTAAAGGTGCATGTGCTTGCCAAAGACAGACAGACAGAGAGAGAAGGAGAAAAAGAAATCACCCCCTCAGGACAGATGGCCACACTCCAATCCCTTCTCCATTCTCCTCTCAGAATTTTAGACACGCACACGCGCCCTGTGTAATTTTTAAGCCACTGAGGCCAGAACTCAAACCACTCTATCAGCCATGTGGGATCCAGTACCTTAACCTGACACCACTTGCTGGTCCATTCATTTTTTGATTCTTCAAGGATCAAAGATCTAAAACACATTCAAGAATTAAATCACATGTAAGAAGGCACTTCAAAAAGCTTATGGAAAATGGAATCCAAGTACAGTTCTATCATGATATAAAAAATAAATAAATAAAAACCCTTACATAGTTCCTTCATAACATGATTTTTTCCACGAATTTGTTGAAAACCCGGCACATATACACACACACACACTGAACTACGGGTATATCCTCCTCCTCCTCATTAATGCTGACTGCCAGGACCTTGTCTCACTTCCCTTGATTAAAACAGAACCCTCTGGGACCAGCACATGGCATAATGGTTACATGGCCTGGACTCCCACGTAATCGACTGCAGTTCGAG